GGCTTCGCCACAGAGGGAGGATCGTGTTTTTGTTTTCGACCTCGATCGTTACCTCTCGAGTGTCTTGTTAGTGCACCCACAAAAGCGCTATGTGAATCGATAGCTGATTATCAGCGGCAACAGCAGCGCATTGGATCAATTTCGTTCTTGCTTCTGGAGGCGTTCTTGCGATGAATTGTAGCAGCTTGAGTGCCATGTCATGGCTTTGACCTGTGCTCCCGCTACTGCATTCCCATTGGGCGATACCTACGACCTTCACTTGTCTTCTCTCATGGCAGCCTTGTCACACCGTGAGTACATTTCTGGTTCAACTGAGGTTTTTCTAGGATTTCGTTTTACTGTTCTCTTCTCGCCGCGCTCATTTCACTCGCAGGCAAGATAACCCGGTGCATCCTAAGGGAGGAATAAAACAAGCTATCCGTTTTAAAGGCAGGATCATGTGAGGTCGGAAGCTTCTTGACTTGTAAGCCATGACGCAAGCTTGCCCGTTAAGTGGAAGCGAGGCCCCGGGTGTGTTTGTGTGCCGGTGCCACGTTTGTGATCCTGTTACATGCTTGTTTAACTCCGTGTGGGCGGCATCACTTCTGCTCCCTCTCGACATCACATGTCAAACCGCTCTTTTGTCATTCCCATTTCTGAATTTTACCATCCAGTAGTAATGCAATCATGTTGCAGTACTACTTTATTTATTTATTATTATTATTTTTTGTTTTTTAGCCGTTTCAGGGACAGCGGTTACTACAGTGGACAGGTTATCAGGTTACAGGTTATCATTATTTGTGCATGAAAGGGTTAAATAAATATGGGGGGTGGATTATTGCTTAAAAATGCATTATTTTTCCTGAGAACCCACAATAGTTGATGTCAAAGATGACCAAAGTCCGCGTTTCAAAATACCTCCAATAATCTGTCAACATGTAATCATGTATTTTTCCATTAAATTAAAATCCCTGCACAAAAAAAAAACATGTCACCGTCTTAATTAATACATTTTACATGGTTAAGTAGAAATTCCTCAAGCAGTATACAGTAGTTGACTTTATGAATCAAAAATGCTGTTTAAAGGGCCCGGAGATATGTAGATCTTTTTAATGAGCTAAGTGCACTTCAAAGTCTTCTCCTTATGAATATGCAACTTTGTATTTGTCTTTCTCGCGTTCTCACTCTGGCTCCCCTTGGCCTGACAGCCATCTGTCTGCTTGTCTTTGATGTGCGCCGCATGTCTGCAATTCTTCTGTTCCCATTTCCAACATACATTGTCGCGAGCGCATCTTTAATGTATGCTCCGCGCCAGCCCCAAAGACGACGACGACCCTACGGGCCAGCAAGCATCCAATCAGCTTGAAACATTTACCACTCTTGACTCGATTTTTGGTACGGACTATTGGTTATACAAGTACAGCGGTGCCTTGAGAAACGTGTTTCATTGGTTCATCTTTTCTGTTTGAGATTAATGGCAAATGCCATTCTACTGTTCTGGCCAAATTGTGATATGATAGTGCCGTTATTAAGAGGTAGATTGAGTCGGGTAGGTGCCATTTGGAGGTCAAACTACCACATGCACGGATCTGATTGGCTGGATCGGATCGGCAGACATTTTACATTTTAAAGCAAAATGGGTAATTGGTTATCATGTCATCATTTGCCGATTGACCGAAGATGTCGTTTATCAGATATGCGAAATAACACATTCTAGCAAAACAAAAAAAAAAATCCTGATCCTATAAAGCCTATTAGAAGTCATACACGGTTCAAATGTCCAAATGTGAATTACGCTATTCATTTCCTTTTTTTTTTTTTTTTTTTAAGTCCCCTTCGACATTTGGCTTCGTGGCCCACTCATCACTTCATTTCTGAGCTGTATTTTTGCCCCCTCAAACTTTGTGTCGTGGTCTCGAAAGCACAGGCGGGCAGCAGGGGTCGGCCTCAGGAAGTGGGTGTGTGGTGTGTCCAAGTTAGTGTCGGGGACTGCCAGGGTGGGAGAGAGAAAGAGCGAGCGAGTGAGTGAGGAAGAGGAGGGGAAAGGGGAAATTACAATAATAAACAGCTGTGAAAACGAGTGAGGGGGTTTGTAGTGGGCCAGAGAGCCGCTGAGGCAGCCAGTGGCGCAGCGAGACCCCCTCCCAAGATCCCCTCGAGGAGTAAACATCCACACGGGAAGGTTTTGGCGAAAAAAAAAACCCAAAAACTTGCGACAGCGATGAGCAAAGGCGTCTTCTCCAAGGAGATAATATCTGGTGGGACTCGGACTCAAAAAAGATGGAGGCGCCGGGCTGTCGGGTGAAAACGTGGCCTTGGGCTCCAAGACCAGAAGAAAGCATTCTTTGACTGAGCGCTAGTCATGATTAGGAGGGAGACGCCGAGGTGACTCTTGGCACGTGATCGCTTCCATGTGCCTTTTGGAGTTGGAGTTGTAATCCTGGACAAGGCCGGACGTCCCCCTGAAAGCGTCATGCAGATTTAAAAATAACAAAAACAAAAAACAATCGGAGGCAAGGAAGAAAAGCTTATACATCCCTCAAGTCTCCCAGCATCTTATCTCCAATTTGCAGACTTTCATTCCAAGATTTGTTGGATTCAGCGCGTCCCGTTCCTGGCTGTCTGAGAACTCCGATGGCACTGGTCGTCCCCTTAATCCCGATTCCAGATCGCCCCCCTCCGGAAAGCATGCTTGGAACGCGTTCCCGGGATGGGAAGATCCAAGAGGGATCTGACATTTGTTGACCTTCGACCCAACTCGTAGGAAAGGAGAGGATGTAGAAAGGGCTCGGCGGGAGTGGGAGGAGCCTAAGCACATGCGGCAACATGATTGGTTTAAATTTCAGTTTGCACGAGCTTCTCAGGAAGTTTGAACAGGTATTTATCCACCTGGCCTTCTTGACCTTGCGGCAGCGGATGTACAAACTGTTTTTGACTTTGCCTCCTCAGCGTGGGTCCACTTCCAATCGTAATTTCAGCCATTGTTGTCAAGTATAGGCACCTTATGCTCAGAGAGTATTTATATTGTCATTACATGCTTGTAACTGGTGGAGAAATATAAAAACTCGCAAAGTAGTCGTTCCAAATAGAAATGCCATCCAGATGAAATCAGGTACGTTTTTCAGAGAAACGTGGGCGCGAAAGTGTTCACTGTAAGTAGCACATCGTTAAACAAGGCTCGTTATTGCTTTTATGCGACGCACAAACCATTAACCTTCAGCTTTTTACCCGCCTACGCAAGTGTCGTGTTATTTTTTTCTTTTTTATCATTCCAAGCATGCGTTGCATGTCATCAGTATTTTTCCGTAATTATTAATGGTGCTGGAGGCCTTCATCCCCCAAACCACCAAATATAATGAATTAGCATCCAGAACCCATGTTCAACGTGAAGTACGAGCAGACAGACAATCTTTTGTTGCATACTGATTTATGGGCCTTAGACCGCATGAGTATTTGGTTTGGATCATGCACACTAACCTGTCTTTCAGTTGCTAAAATGAATTGCAAAAGGGAGCTTTTGTAAATGAATGTGTGCTCAACCAATACCCGCACAGTGTCTGTTTTCGCTCCCGGAGCGTGAGTGCACACGTGTGTGCTCAAACTAAGCGTATGTTCGACATAGAAGTACCCAAGTTAAAAAGAAAAAAAAAAAAAGGAAGGGGAAGCACTCGGGTAATGACTTGAGTTAGGTCCAGTTGGCTCAGTCCGAAGTGCATGAATCTGTCTTTGCGCGCCGACGTGTTGTCATTGGGTTGACGTGCCAAATATTTAGCGCGCGTCCTCAACGCGGTGTTCAGCTCCTTTATATGTAACTTTCGGATAAAATGTGTTAATTAAAGCGTGTCTATTGACATATGACTTGTCAAATTGAACAAAAGGCAAATTACTCGTGTTTGTAAAATAAAAAGTTAACTTCAGGCTAACGCATAACGGGAAACGCCACAGACGAGCTAACGACTAGCATCTGTGTCATGGTGTTATCACCCCATTAGCGCAGGCATGTTTTCTTTATCCTCGATAAAGAACAGCTGATAATACTGGCGCACCGAGGATCTGAAACCGTCTTCATGTACAATAAATCCAGCAAAAGTTCCCCAGTCTACTAGGAGCCCCAAAAAAAACAACCACCAACAAAAAAAAAAAAATGTGTTGATTTCTTCATTCATTTGATTGTGTCACGACTGAATGTTTTCATGATGGACAAAATTATGGAGTACGATTTCATTTGTGGGGAAAAAAAAAAGACTACAAACTTGGAACTTGCCTCTCAAGGCACCTCTATATAACTCCTTAGGCAGGAATTCTTATTATTCGCGTCTCACTAAGTCTTGTCAGTTGCATCTCTGTGCTCGCCGCTGCAGGCAGTGATACGCACACACGACATCCATATGCTACTGGGGGTTTATTTATTTAATGTTCAAATGGCTCGAACGGAAGGGAGAGTCCCACCAGAGAGCGGCCGGCAGGAAAAGTGGAGCGATTTTACACATCCCCCCCCCCCCCGCTGTGATGCGATTCATCGTTAGCACCCCCGTTATCGTGCACATGCTGAAGTGATTGTTTATTTATTTGTTTATTTTTTGGGAAATAGGCAAGTCAAACTCTGTCTGTGCCACGACATTTAAATGTTTTCATAACATGTGGGAGGAGTAAAATAAAAAAAATGTTTGGTCGCTCTGTCACTGATTTTCACCTACAGCGGGTACATCTGGAACACACACACACACACACACACACACACACACACACACACACACACACACACACACACACACACACACACACACACACAGTGGGATATTTTCTGCAGCAGTGATAAGAGCAAAAGGAGGGGTGGAGGCAGACGTTGCTCAGGGAGTTGCTCCCGGGTTGACATCCCGTGTCAAAGGGGGACTCTCCAAAAATAAAAATGAGCCCCCTTCTGTGCAAGACCCTAGGCATGAATCCGCCATTTGGTTTGTCACTTTCCTGTTGTTTATGTCATTGAAGTGACTTAATGGTGTGTCTGTCTGCCCATCCAGGACATCCAGGCTGAGATCGACGCCCACAATGACATCTACAAGAGCGTGGATGGCAACAAGTCCAAAATGGTCAAGGCTCTGGGAAGCTCCGAGGAGGCCGTGTTCCTTCAACACAGGCTGGATGACATGAACCAACGCTGGAGCGACCTCAAGGCCAAATCGGCCAACATTCGGTCAGTCAAAACTAACATCCATCCATCTTTATCGTTGTCATTCGCTTTTTAGGCTCATTCGGGTTATGGGTTGATATCCCCGGGCCTGCCTCAAAACCTCAATCAGGCTCTGGTTGTAACTGCGTAAAGGTCAGACCAGGATGTGTGCACCCCACCTTGGTCCTATCTTTTA